CGCTGTACTATTTACACGGATCACAAGAGTTTGCGATATCTTATGGATCAGCCGAGTTTGAACATGAGACAAGGAGATGGTTAGACGTGCTGAAGGACTATGACTGTGAGATCCTTTATCATCCAGGGAAGGCCAATGTGGTGGCCGACGCCCTGAGCCGCAAGGTGTCGACGGCCCCTATCAGAGATCTGTGTATGAGGATGACAGTGATCACTCCGTTGTTGGAGCGGATCAAGGAGGCTCAGATGGAGGGCCTCAAGGAGGAGAGGCAGAAGTGTGAGAGGATAGTGGGCCGAGTAGCTTCATTTGATTACGACAGTCGGGGTTTGTTGACACTTCATGGTAGGATATGGGTACCGTACTGGGGTGGGGTACGGCAAGTATTGATGGACGAGGCTCATAAGTCTCGGTTTTCTATCCACCCAGGAGCGACGAAGATGTATCGAGATCTTCGATCTGATTATTGGTGGCCCTGCATGAAGCGAGATGTCGCTTGGTATGTGGAGAGATGTTTGACCTGTCGGAAGGTCAAGGCGGAGCACCAGAGACCTCACGGCAAGATGCAGCCGTTAGACATTCCCGTGTGGAAATGGGAGGACATCACCATGGATTTTGTCACCAAACTCCCAGGACCGCACGCGGGGTGGACTCGATATGGGTAGTAGTGGATCGGTTGACGAAGAGTGCCCATTTTATTCCGATTCAGGAGAGTATATCGGCGGAAAAGTTAGCCGATATCTATGTGCGAGAGATTGTGGCACGTCATGGAGTGCCGGTATCGGTGGTGTCGGACCGAGATGTTCGTTTCACGTCCAGATTCTGGAAGCGATTCCACGACGAGATGGGTACTCGTCTCCATTTCAGCACCGCTTTTCATCCTCAGACTGACGGGCAGAGCGAGAGGACGATTCAGACTCTCGAGGACATGCTTAGGGCATGTGTTCTAGATTTTGGGGGCAGTTGGGATACGTATCTTCCGTTAGCGGAATTCTCGTATAACAACAGTTATCATGCGAGCATTGATCGACCTCCTTTTGAGATGTTATACGGCAGGAAGTGCAGGACCCCGATTTGTTGGGGCGAGGTCGGTCAGCGAGTCATAGGGAGCACCGAAGTGGTGCTCAAGACGACGGAATTGATCCAGCAGGTCCGTAGTAGGCTGCAGACTGCGCAGAGTCGGCAGAAGAGCTACGCCGACAGGAGGCGTTCGGACTTGGAGTTCCAGGTGGGAGATATGGTTCTTCTGAAAGTCTCACCTTGGAAAGGTGTCATCAGGTTCCGGAAGAGGGGCAAATTGGGCCCCAGATTTATTGGTCCTTTCAGGGTTTTGGCCCGGGTGGGTCGGGTTGCTTATCGGTTAGATCTTCCTGAGGAGCTTAGTCTGATACACAACACCTTCCACGTGTCGCAGTTGAGGAAGTGTTTGGTGGATGAGACAGCAGTCGTTCCCTTAGAGGACATTCAGGTTGATAGCGGCCTAAATTATATCGAGAAGCCGGTCGCGATTCTGGAACGGAAGACCAAGACCTTGAGGAACAAGGTAATTCAGCTAGTAAAGGTGCAGTGGCAGCACCGGAAGGGGTCTGAATGGACGTGGGAGGCTGAGGGGAGATGAGAGCGCACTACCCGGAGTTATTTGCAGATCCAGCCGTAGCAGACTTCGAGGACGAAGTCTGAGACAAGTGGGGAGAATTGTAACGACCCGTTCCCGGTATGTTGATTTATTGGTAATTATAGTGAGTTTTTCAAGAGGGACTCGGCGAGTTCTAGCCTGACTCGCCGAGTAGGGTCGCGTCTGAGGGCACGCGTGAGCCGGGGACTCGACGAGTCCATATCCCCGACTCGGCGAGTCCATCTGTCTGGGTGAAACCCTAAAATCCCCGGGTTGCCCACTATTTATACCACCTTATAGCCCCCATTCTCGCCTCCCTCACCCTGAGAACGCAGTGATAGAGCCCCAAACCTCCATTGAAGAGCTTATATGTGTTTTGGTGCCATTTTGTGAAGGTGTGAAGAAGGAGAAGAAGGAAGAAGCAAGGAGAAGGGTTGTAGTGCAAAGATCCAAGGCCAAATCAGAGTTTATTGAGGTATTTTCGGAGTTCCATCTTATTATATGCTTTAAACTTCCATTAGGCTCTCCTAAGAGCTAGTTGGTGCTTGTTTCAAGCCTTACACTTGCATGAATCTTATTAAGTCGAATATCTATGGATCTGAATGTTGGGGTGTTGTAGAGCCCAGATCTACTGTCTTTTTGGAGTTATATTGCATGATAACCATAGATCTACCCATTTTATGCATCTTTTAGCCTTATTTCCCTTATTCATGAGGTTGTGCACGTAAAGTTGGAAACTTTACGTGGTAAAACAGCTTATTGGACTCAGATCTATCAATTGTATGCATTGGATTCAAACAAAATCAAGTAAAAATCAGTTGCATGGCGGCGACTCGGCGAGTCGGAAGAACGACTCGACAGTCGGGTCGCGAGTCCCGAGTCCTTCAGTTTTATCAGTGTCGAGTGTACGAGGTGAGTCAGAAGTGGACTCAGCGAGTTGAGAGTAGACTCAGTGATGGAGGGACTCGACGAGTTTGTTCATACAACTCGGCGAGTCCAAGGCAATCTTCTTGGGATCAAGAACAACTCGTCGAGTCTGTTCATACGACTCGGCGAGTCGGATGAAGATTGTCTGAGTTCTTGGATCAAGAGGGTACTCGTCGAGTCGATGCCAGACTCGACGAGTAGCAGTGAGTAAAGTGAAAAGTGAGAGTAGGACTCGGCGAGTTGGGTGGCCCAACTCGGCGAGTCAGCCCAAAGGAGAGTTGACTTTGACCAAGGGTAAAAGAGTCATTTTACCCCAAGCGCAGTGTTTAGTATTTGATTGAGTGTGTTTATGGACTTGTAGCCGAGGAGATTCAGGAGCAGCCGCCGTTAGCTTCCCGAGCCACACACTCAGCAGCCAGCTTACGAGGTGAGTTTCCTTCCAGTAGGAACGGGTCTAAGGCCACAATGCCGGCCCGTTCAGTTAGCAGTAGTTTCCGGATTTAGGTCCGATGCAGTAGTTGGTATGTTCGATGCCTTCGTGGTTCGAACAGGATTTATGTGTTATGTTTTATGTGTTAAGTACTATGTGTTCCGGGCCACGGCCCGATGTAGCATGTCGTATATGTGTTCTGCTAGTTGATGTGTTATGCTATGCCATGTTCAGTCAGATAGTTCCGGACTTCGGTCCGATGCAGTTAGTTCCGGACTTCGGTCCGATGCAGGGGACAAGGTCCCAGTCAGTTCCGGACTTCGGTCGGATCTAGTTAGTTCCGGACTTCGGTCCGATGCAGGGACAAGGTCCCAGTCAGTTCCGGACTTTGGTCCGATGCAGTCAGTTCCGGACTTCGGTCCGATGCAGGGGACAAGGTCCCAGTCAGTTCCGGACTTCGGTCCGATGCAGTTTCCGGGCTTCGGCCCGATGCAGTGGGCAAGGCCCAATATGTGTTTATATGTTATTGTATGGTATGTGGTATTTTGGGGGAGCTCACTAAGCTTCGTGCTTACAGTTTCAGTTTGGTTTCAGGTACTTCCGCAAGCAAAGGGAAGAGCTCGGGGTGACAGCATCGCACACACCACAGCATAGCTTTTATCCTGGGGATGTCTTTTGATGTTATGGATTGATGTTGTATGACACAGTTTTCCGCACAATATTTTATTACGTTTTAGGGATACATCGCGTATGTTTTATGTTATGATACTTATATTACGGTTCAGATTATATTGAAAAACGAAAATTTTTGGGTCGTGTTTTTGGGTCGTTTCAATGTTCCGCTCATCCAAGAATCTAATTGATCGGTAATTCGACCGACGACTCTAAGGGCATTAGTGCGGGCCTTCCATCTTACTGTGGCTATCTAGTCATTGACCCATTTGCTTGCGAAGCATATCATCGCTTCGTGTTGTTCCCTTATGCATTGATGATTACTGATTAAAATTGTTGCAATAAGCCGCCTCTCCGCTATGAGGTTTGCGAGGACCTTTGTTACCGCGCCCGAGCTAGCACTAGTTCGTACCTCGTTCGACTATTATATCGAATAGGCATCTTATTAAGCGGTCTTTTTCTTTGACGTTACATGATCAGCCGCTGATGAATGCATGTGGAAAGTAAAGTTCATCTGCCATGCCCCCGGCCCCGACATAGGAATGAATGCCCACGGTGGTTGTGCATTCTGGCGTAACGTAATAGGAAGACTTGTGATTTGGCGAGAGTTCTTGATGAGGGATGATCCATTATATAATAGAACGAAGTGAACAAGTTGCCAGAATTTCAATAGTGAGTTCTTGGATGATATACAGATTAGAACCGAGACAACCGATGCCTCAAGCCCATGGTTTGTATTTTTTCCGACATGAAAAATGACTCGCCCTGTCTTTCTTATCAAATCTGAGAGCACCCTATCCTCTCCTCGCTGAGCCACCCGGCATTTTCGTTCAAATATAGGCCGGATGGCTTGGTTGCTATTATAAAATACCGGGTGGCTACAGGCTCAGGTTGCTAGTTGGCTTAGTATTGCATTGAAAGATGGTAGCTGCTTCTTCACTCTTCAAGTAGCTGAAGCTTCTGTTCAAGTCAGGAATAGGGGTTGATAAAAGTAAAACTTTTCTTTCAAGATTAGGTTAGTGTTCTGTTTTTTCGGATGCTTTTCCGTTAAAGAGAACTGCAAGAATGAGAGGGCAGATATGATAGAGCTGCACTCTCAGACCGCCACCCATATTATGGAGGATCTGTATCTGCCTCATGAGCCGGATGATTGCCTCCGCGAAATGCTGGAGGATCTAAGGGGGACCCTAGTTGTCTGAACGGGGCTATTGACCCGTATCTGACAAAAAGGGTAGCCACTCAGTTGAAAGCTATCTTAGAATAGGAAGAAAAAGATTGAAAAAACTGTTCAAACCTATACCTAATTTTCTTTGATTATTCAATTTTGATTAGTGTTGATCGCTCTTTTCTTTAAAGCTTATGCCTCACGAGAAGCCGAAGAACTCTCTTGGGTGGACTTCAAGCGCGATGATAGTCAGTCTGAAGCTTTCTCGCTGGGCGAGCGCATCCGATTCTAAAGTCCTTTCCTAAACCACTTCCCGTTCAGTTGCTGAAAGATAGAGAGAAGGCTTTCTAAATGAGATTGAGTTCCACAAATATGCAGGCTAGAAAGATGCTATTTGCTGCTATTCTATCTATTTGTGCATCAAGTTCGAAGAAGATTTCAATCTATAATGAAGAAATGATAGTAGCTCGTTGTTTTATAGGCTTTATCATATTCAGTCGGAAGAGTTTAGGTAAGACTTTCAAAGAGACTCTCGACGGGAGAATCCAGGCTATTCAGGAAGAATCACAGCAATTCCTCAATCCTAACGAAGTAGTTCCTCCGGAATCCGCCTTGGTTTGAGAGATTTGGGCACCCTTTCAGGTGTGTCTGTACACATAATGATAAATTGACAATTTTTTTGAAAGAATTTGAATTTTGTAAAAAAAATAAAGAAGAAGGGGTATAATGTGTGCATTCATCCAAGCCCAAGTAATTGATTCCCAGAATACCCATACATGTTTGTTATGATATATGTCATGAGAATTTCATGTTAGAATAGGGTTGTGGATCTGCTTAGGAATTCATGCTAGGAGATGGGCCTTTGTATGTTTGTTGCTTAACCTTTTAGAATTGCATGCTTGTATGGATTTCAGATGATTAGGATAGATTGGCTTAATTAGGTGATGTGTTGGTTAGATTTTCTGGCCCGAATGTTGCATGCTTTGTGGTTTGTGGGACTCATATTAATGTGACCTAATTATTTCATGAATATGTTAAGTTGCATGCTGTAAATGTTAAATAATCTCAGAGTGATGGATTTGACCCTATTACATAACTCTTTTCTGAGTTTAACCATTGTAGCGTTGAGTCTTTTACTCAAAGGATTATCTAAGCTCTGTTGCGTGTGATTGTATTTATGAAGTAGTTAGCTAACGTTAGTGGGAGTTCTTCAGCACCTGATAACATGGTGAGGATGAGGAACCTAGGAGAGCCTAGGAAGTGTTTTAGTGGGTTTGGTTGTGCTGTTTAGTGAGTACTTACATACCGGTTTGAGAATGTGACTTACAGGATCCGGGATAACTCTTGAGGAAGGTATGGATAGATATTGAAAGTAGTATTGGGTGCATACGACTAAAAGCACTTGATCCATACTCTAATAAAGGGGAGTCACGAAGAATCTAGGAATATTGTGGGATGACGATTCCTTGAGTATGTTCTGATTATAGTATGATTTCTTTTCAATATAGCAATGATCACTCGTGACGAAGGATAAGATTCAGGCTCTGGTGTTGGCATCGAGTCGATGGAGGAGCGAATGTGGGAGTTCATCATGTCGGAGATTACTTGCGATACTTTGGAGCAGACTCATATGATTTTTGGTACGATCAAGGAAGGGGTCATGAAGATTATTTAGGAGCATCGAGACGTGTGCGCATTGAGTTATGTAGTTGCGGGAAGAGTGAATCGGGTCCTTTTAGCCCGAGATCGCAGCGGAATAGATGGTAGCGCGAGCTTCCCCATTTCGGGAGAGATCTTTGTTGGTTTCGCAGTATGTGGAAGACGAGGAAATAAAGAAGGCGAGGTATCATGATATGTTGAGGGATGACTTGAATGAGCTTTTCAAGGTGAAAGACCCTGAATGATGTGATTACTAGAGACCAAGAGCGAGAGATTGATTTGGAGCAACTCGGGAAGAGGAAGACGGAGCCGATTTAGACCACAATGGGCCAAGCGAACTGGCCCAAGACTCAGGATTCACGTTTGGGAGGCCATAAAGGTCGAGGTTGTTGTGCCATGTGTGGGAAAACCCACGTGGGAGGTTTTCGGGAGGAAAGGAAGGGATGTTTCAGTTGCGGTTAGATGGGTCATTTCGATAGGGATTTCCATCGAGGATCAGTTCTGATGTGTTTTCACTGCAACCAAGTGGGACACAACAAGGCTAATTGTTCGGAGTTGATTAGGGAAGTAGTGAGGGCACCATCTATAGCCAATCTGAGGATTAATGATGATCGTAAAGGCAAAGTGGAGGTTCCTTTGGTGAGGAGTTGAGCATTGCAGTTATTGGATAAAGGATCTGAGTTCCACCAGTCAATGCCGCAGGTATCTATTGTATTCACTTCTTGCACGCCCTTATTATTAATTGTGTTTATTATTACTTTTGTGTATGAGAGAGAGAGAGAGGGAGGGAGGGAGACGCTATGTGTGGTTTATTTAAGTCTCCACCTAGAAATCAGAATTCTTCTCATGATGGTCTGGACATCATAATTTAAGAATCTTCAAATATTATTTTGCATACCGAGAGTTGTGTTTTGAGGATATTCGAGTGATCCAGTTTTAGATTTTAATGTAGGAGGCATTGACCATAGTCAGAACAAGCTTAAAGTAGGGGAAGATCAACAGCTGGTTCGATCCTTGGTGGTATCAGGAAGAATTCAAGGAATCCATAAAGTGGGCATGCCGAGTTTGAATGTAGGATATGTAGAGTTCTTCATGGTTTGGAGGAAATGAGGTATTGTTTTGATCGTGGGTGTAAGATATGCAGTTTTCAAGTTCATACCTTCAAAGGGTGGTCAGTTGTAGGTTCGTATGGGAATTTCTCTAGTGAAAGTAGGTCGTTGAATTGGTTGGATACCCATTTCGATAGCTGAGATTTTTTTTGTTGTCATATGATATGTTGTCAACGACTTGTGGTGTAGTGGAAAGTGATTGCGATCATTGAGCTCGTTAAGATCTCGGGAAGTATTCATCCAGTTTTTGGAATATGTATGTTCGTTAGGACTGGCTAGTATCAGGATGATAGTTCTTGTAAGATTAGGTTGTTGACTGCTTTGGGTGGTAAGGGTGTGGGAGGGATTGGAAATCCATCAATTGTGTAGTTGGAAGAGTGCAGTAGAATCCAATTGGGGGAGAATCGTTCGGACTAGGGGTTGCACAAGAATGGATATTTACGTTACCTTGCACATCGGTGGTGACACGTGGTGGGTATGTGATCTGGTGTAGGTTAAGGGTTGTGTTAGATCCTCTCTGTCTATTCTTGTCTGATAAAGGCTTTGGGATTCGAAGCATAACCAAAACATTGTTTTTAGGTATAGTCGGATGCGGGTTCGACTCATGATGATTATGGTTAGTATTGTAGGGGCAATAAGGCCATGGGTTGGGTCCATGGCAGTGTGGATGTGTTGTAAGACTACACAGTAGTTGTAGCATTCACATGGTTTATAGGCGGTTAGAGAAGTGTTGTAAGATTGCGGGGTGGCCGTAGCATTCACTATATTGGCAAGTAGTGATAGAAGTGTTGTAAGACTAGTGGGTGACCGTACCATTTATTAGATTGGCAGGTAGTGATAGAAGTGTTGTAGGACTAAGGGTGGTTGTAGCATTCACTAGATTGGCAAGTAGTGATAAAAGTGTTGTAAAACTATTAGGTGACCAAATCATTCGCTAGATTGGAAAGTAGTAATAGAAGTGTTGTAAGACTACATGGTGGCTGTAGAAGCCACTAGATTGACAGTTAGTGATAGAAGTGTTGTAAGACTATGAGGTGGTTTTAGTATTCAATTAGATTGGAAAGTAGTGATAGAAGTGTTGTAACACTGCAGCGTGGCCGTGGCATTCACTAGATTGGCAAGTAATGATAGAAGTGTTGTAAGACTATAAGGTGGCCGTAGCATTCACTAGACTGGAAGGTAGTGATAAAAGTGTTGTAAGACTGATGGGTAACCTATAGCATTCACCTGGTCCATGAGCGTTTGAGAGAGTGTGGAGAATATACGATTTGGCATGTGGTTTCCTCTAGCTCGGTATTAGATCATGGTAGGATGGGTAGTAAGACTGTGGGAAGGCCACCCCATTCAAGGAATTAAGGCAGGATGTGGTTCGTATGAGGTTAGTTGTGATGTAAGACTACAACTGGGCATGTAGCCTTCATCTATAGCAAAGTAGATTATGTTTCATCGGTATAATGATTGGTTATATTATCCCTAGTTAGATTAAAAGGGTTGTTGGAGCCATTATGGTGAGCATGATAGGATAGCTCTTGTGGGATAGACCCTCATTCAGGACTCATGTGGTGCGATTGTGTGGGCCTATCATCCTCAACAACTGGTTGGAAATCCGATATATCGGTTAATTGGTAGGTAGGTACGAGGCCAGAGAGGTCTCCGTTATATCAGAAATGTAATATGGTACCAATGGACGAGACTCATGTTGGGGGTCGCCTTGTTATTGAGTTAAATGTTTCGGTAATGATGAATGGTCGTGGATTCTGTTTCCCTATGGAAACAACAAAATAATCCAAGGTCGGAAGGGTTTACATTCAGTCGGAAGGTTTCGGTAATGATGAATGGTCGTGGATTCTGTTTCCCTATGGAACGAAGAAGTTATGATTTTTTTTAAGTTAGGAAGATTTTGGGGTAAGCCGAGTACGATAGGCGTACAGGGCATACACTAGGCGTACTGGGGAGGAATTATCATGGATTACAAACCTAATACGCTAGGAGTACGTAGAGTATACTAGGCGTACGCACATTAGATGCAAACCCTAATTTTGGGTCTTGTACCCTATTTAAAGACCTTAACTCATTTTCAACCCTCCATTTTTAGCCTCTATATCCTCTAACCTTAAATTCGAAACCTTAGCCCAATCTTAAAGGATATTGAAGATTTGAGTGGTTTTTGGTGCATTTGGAAAAAGAAGAACTCCTTGGAGAAGTGTTGGTTGCCTTGGAGCTTGTAGCTCCAAACCTTGTTCACCTTGATCTTTCTTCTGAAGGTATAAAGCTTGAACCTTGATGATGCATTTGATAGATATAGTTATGAGTTTTTGGCCACTTTAGTGCATAAATTCTATCTCTTGAAAGTTTGCGACCTTGTTATGGCGAAAGTTGGAAACTTAATCATCTAAACACCATATTGATTCAGATCTAAAGGTTTGAGACTTGGACTTAATGGATTAAGTTGAAAAGGATGCATGTTTGGTTCGTTTGAGACTTAAAGACTAGATCTTGGTTGTTTAAACCATTCTAATAGATATAGTTGGAAACTTTAACCATTATGGAGTTATTATGAACCATATAAATTTGTTTCTGGCCCTTATATTCCTTTCATGCATGAGTTGGTGGTATTTTGATGATGTTAGAGATTTAGGGCTTTGGTTTGGACAACATTAAGCCATGCAAAGTCATAAAGTCAAGAGCTTTATGAATTAGGACGTCCCATAAGAATCAGTTCTAGAAGTTATGTAACACCCAAAGTCTGGAAGGCCAAGAAAGGAAAGAAAACCCTAATTTTAAAGGGCGACTCGGCGAGTCTAAAGATGAACTCGGCGAGTCCGAGCAGGATCCGGGTCGAGGAGTAAGTGA